TATATATATATAATAATCTCGCTAATAAATTCTTATATAATTAGAACTCACTGCTCATGTCCGAAGGTTGCAAAGCCTACTGATAGGATACTTGCAAGGATGAGAGCCTTTATCTGCAATTAAATAAGTCTTGTTAATAATTTATCTTTTTTTTAAATCTCAATTGTACGTATTAACTCAAGAAAACATGTTTGTTTGCTTTCTCGATTTCCTGTATTATTTATAAATCGTTTAACTATTACTTATAAATATTCTTTAAAAAATCAATCGCGTACATAATTTTCACATCTTATCGAGTCTTTAATACTATCATATAAACATCAATAGAAAATGATTGAGAATTTCAATCTATAGTCACAAAACTGTCGTTTACGTGGCCGCGATTTGAAAAAAAAAAAATCCACTGTACGAAGACCACCTCCAAGTATCGCGAGATCTCTACCCCTGTATTAATTTCTCGGCAAACGGTAACAAATGATTTCCGTCCGTTTGTAATTCCTTACAGCGTATTTGGGTCCCATGCTGGTATCCAGGACACGGCCGGTCGCCCGGATCCCTTTCCCTGCTTCTTATTTCACGCACAGTTGTTTGAAATTTTGATTGGAAATGTTTTCATTAAAAAAGATATGATGTAAATTTATTTAATTTAACATATGCAAAATAAATAATAATTGCACGATTTTTATCAAGAATTATATTTATAATTAACTAAATTTACGAAACAATACTTTATATGGAACAATATAAAACGAAAGTGACAAAAATTTCTAAGATTTTTTTATAAATATTCATGAGAGTATTCTCTTTCTCTAAATATTAAAATAGACAATCTCGAAGTTCTTTCTCTTTGTTGCGTCATTAAATTTTTAATTGTTAAAATAATGCGGCCACTTGAGGCATTTTTAATCACTTTTTTATACATATGGAAGCAAAACTTTTTTAGTACTTGCAAAAGAGAGAGTAGACGAAATTCAAAAACTCGATTTACCGTATGCTGGAAAATTTGCTGTTTAATTTGCTGGCGTCATCGCATTTTAATTTTATTGTAATAAAATTAAAAATTATTGCGATTGTTCGCAATTGCTTTTTAGACAATATTTACAACGCCTTTTTGTGCTAAATAAAATATTTTTAGCGTCAAAAATTTATTTTATAAAAAAGAAGATTGAGATATCGAAAATTTTATAAAGAAAAAATAATATAAAATTAAAATATGTTTAACATAATTCGGTCTTATACCTCCGCCATGGCCACCTCCGAAACCTCCACCGTGACCTCCTCCGAAGCCACCCCCGAATCCACCGCCACCTCCATAACCTCCTCCGTGACCACCACCAAAACCTCCGCCATGATCATCTCCGAAACCGCCTCCTATGTCGCCCCCAGGACCGCTGACCTCGATATGATGATGATCATGACCGCCGCCGCCGCCGCCCCCACCTCCGTGATCACCTCCGCCGTGATCTTCGTATTTTATAATTTGCTTTTCGTGGTGCTGCACTACTTCTGGCAGGTGTATCTTTATATGTACACTGAAATATAAAAAATATGCTTAAATCGAGGAACGTTTTTAATTAACATACTTTTCTTAAGATGCTGATAATTACCGATGCGAAAAAACCTTATATTGTTTCTTTCATACGTTTCTATATGGATTAATTATGTATATCCCAACGTTAAACTAATTACTCACGATACGAGTCTTTAAACAGAATAATGGTACGAGTTGGTATAGCGTAATAAAGATTTATAGCATTTATCACGAATAATTATATTTGCCGCGAAAGAAAGAGAAAGAAAATTTTTTATTTTAAGTACTTTAACGAAGCATTGCATCCTTTATCAACTAACACGACGATATATATTAATAATATATATCGTATTAACTCAAGAAAACATGTTTGTTTGCTTTCTCGATTTCCTGTATTATTTATAAATCGTTTAACTATTACTTATAAATATTCTTTAAAAAATCAATCGCGTACATAATTTTCACATCTTATCGAGTCTTTAATACTATCATATAAACATCAATAGAAAATGATTGAGAATTTCAATCTATAGTCACAAAACTGTCGTTTACGTGGCCGCGATTTGAAAAAAAAAAAATCCACTGTACGAAGACCACCTCCAAGTATCGCGAGATCTCTACCCCTGTATTAATTTCTCGGCAAACGGTAACAAATGATTTCCGTCCGTTTGTAATTCCTTACAGCGTATTTGGGTCCCATGCTGGTATCCAGGACACGGCCGGTCGCCCGGATCCCTTTCCCTGCTTCTTATTTCACGCACAGCTCACCACGGCGACCGGGCACACACTGTCATATATTTGCGGCCGCGGTCTTACCTATATATATACCAGACGGCAGGAAATACCGGAAGGAGGGGGTGGGGATGAAACGAAGAAGTTCATGGGTACCACCGGACGTGTAACCATCGTAAGAGCGCTCCGAAAGGAGCCGAATGGCGAAACCTGGTGGGCGCATATCCCCCGGCGGCCGCGTACTCCGAATACATATGTACCCGACAGATGATGTTCCATGTACGTATATTGTAGATGCATGTAACGCGTTTCTCATGAACGGGAATGGCCGTGACCCACACACAGCTCTTATCCTAGAGAAATTTGCGTCTGGGCTTTCTTTCTCGATCCTATCGACACATATAGACGATACATGTATCGATATTCGACATCGCAGCCTGATAGCTGCAAGCTATATTTTCGGTGATAAGAGCATATCCTGCAATCAACGAAACTTCTACGAAAGTTCTACGAAATTTTAAAAATAAACAGATTATTACTAACGATAAGAAGAATAGATTTTCTCTTTCATTAATTTAATCTTATTTTAACAAATCTTGATCTTAATAGATTAAATGACGTCTTTATTATAGATAATTCAGCGCGTGGATTTATATTCTATGTCTTGTGATATTTATACAAGAATTTTCTCTTGCTGCAGCAGTGATATGCGCATTGTATTGACAGGTTGGTTTAATTTACGGCACGTCATGTACGCGAATATAAATAAACCTAAATATTAGCATTATTGCTACTATCGATTATACTATACTTTCCCCGATTTCCACAATAAAATAAACTAGAAAATACCGTCAGCAAGGTATATCTCTCGGGATCTTTGCTTCAATATTTCCAACATGAAAGAAATGCACATTTATAACGCCATATATGAAAGTACATTTTTACATACATTTATTACATATAAAATATATATCGCTTTAATCTTTATCCGCAAATTTATATTCATCATACGTAACAATCCCTATTAATATCTTTGATGAGACATATTTACATGTGTGTGTGTGTATTAATGTTATTTTAAATAATAAAAGAGTATATAAAAAAAAAACTTTTTCTTAAAGTATTTCTAATCTATAATAATATAACTTTGTGTTTATACACATATTAATATAATCATATTAATACAAGCACTGATATGATTTAATTTGATGGTAATACTTACTTAGCACGCATTAATATGCATGAAGAATGTTAATATGCACGAGAGATTAATCGCAATCCGTTGATTAAATCTATCAAACGGGTTTTAATCGATTGCGGATATTTACCACAAATAGATTTGTTCATACGAATAATAAATAAATAACGCAAAAACATCGTAGATCTGAAAGCAATGCATTCCGATGTAATTCAAACTTGTATACGGCACAATCTGACATATTTATTATGATTTTGTCAAATTCGCTGTTTTTGCGTTGTGATGTGGCAGATTTGTATAATGATTTGCAAATTACTTTAATTACTGAACTTTATATACAATTTATTTAGCTAATTATTTTCATTAAATTATTTAATTTTGTTCTTTAATCAAAAAATCTTTAATTATTTCTGATCTTTTATCAAAAATACGTGATTTTCAAAAGAAAAAGTCTTCTTACTGAAAAGTACATTGTATAAAGAGTCGAAACAAGAACAACTCATTTAAGGAACGTATAAATCTCACTAATTAGCAGAATTCTAAAGGAATATTGTCTCAGGTGAGAAATGTTGTGAGTAAAAGGAACGACAAGTATTATATTCATGATGCATGTCAAATATATATGTTTATGATATCGTAGTATGTAAAATACAAATTGGTATAATTTAAATAAAACAAAAAAAGATGAATGAAATCGATGAATTAAATAATTTTCCTAAAATAAATAATAATATTGTTTTATAATTGTTGAGTTTATTTAATTTTTGTATGGAAAGTTTTATATCGGAAAGAAAGTGCAGCGATATTGAAACATTATGTATATTTGTCAAGTAAATTTTCTTTTAATTCGATTTTTATGACATAAATTTCCCATTTCATTTAGAAACTTAAACTCGTTAAAGAATTATAGCGAAACGGATAAATAATGCTTTTCTATATAAAATATCCATAGTAGTAGTAGTTGTAAAAATTTGTAACACTACTCTCACCTTTCTCATATAAATTCCTCTCTTGCAACGCAAGACAGCTTTCTTTACATGTTTAACTTTTCTCTCTTGATCGAATTCGTAGGACGAGATAATTGAAACGTTTGTTTTGATTGAAAAAAGTTTATATCGTTTCTGTATGTTAGCGATATATTACAGAATAAATACCTGAAATAGATTGAAGTGATAATCGATCATTTGTACACAAATAAATTTCGAAACTTGCATTTAAACAAAAAATGTTTAATTATTTTTGCGTATGTGTAATCTGTGATAAATATAAACATAAAAAAATATCTCTCTTTTTATCATTCAGTGGCTATTAAATAATAAAATATTCTGCAAAGATATTTTTATATTTAGTTATAAAAGTTAAGTTTTATAAAAGCGAAATAATATCGAGTTTTATTTTACGTAAACAATGAATTTTTAAATTTATATAATGTCTCTAACACAATCTCTCTATTTCTCAAAAAACTACTTTCCTATTAACAATTAATTAGATCTAAAATATGCATTGAAAAAAGAATTTGCGAAAAATTGATTAGTACGAGTTTGTGAAAACAATGAAAGTAACAAATCTCGATCTAATACATATAAGCTTCTACTTTCTCAAATCCTTATATTTCATTGCAGCTGAATGGCATCTTACTGATATATGTGTGTATATGAATTTAGAGATTCCATTCCATTCACACATACGTAAAACAATAAAAGGATCATGCATACTTGAGTAACTCGCTAGATTTAATCGCTGGGAAATCTTTATCGATGCAACCATGTGAAAGCACTGAATGACGATTTGCCGCATACTTTTCAACCATGTCAATGATTCTCTATACAGTGTCTTAGAAATATAGATCATTAATCTATATTGTCTCTGGAATTTTTTTTATTAATTTAGTTATTAAGTTGATTTTTTTGACAAAAATATTGAAAATTAATAATTTTTAAATTATAATCTATATTGAGAAAATTAAAGTAAATTTCCAATAATACAAATAAATAGATCAACTTTATCTTTCAGTCTATTTCAAGCAGTCTTTAATGGATTTGTAATTTGAAGATAAACTATGCAGATATTTAGTGCATATTAATCTGATGTTACACAATTAATATAATATTATTAAATTAATTAATTTTTAACATATTATAAACAAATATTTACAAAAATACTATATTTTAACGCAAAGTTTGAAATTTTTTGATAGATATAAATATACAATGTCTTAATAAAAAAGTGATAAAATATTATTTTATATCATCAATTTGTTTTTAATTCTCAGATTATTACAGTGAAAAAAAAATGCTGTTGCTTCAATTAAAGTCTACGTCACGGACTGCCACAGACATACATAGTTCATTCAATGATATTTTTATTAGACCAAATATGGCCCGTGACGTAGACTTTAATTGAAGCAACAGCATTTCTTTTTACCGTGTAAGAGTCAGCATTCAATAATTATATTTATTGATATTTCCGCTGGAAAAAAATGTATACCAAGAAAAAAATTCATAGATGAGAAGATCTGCGATACTCTATTTAACACCCGTGACGCGATTCTACATCCGCGTATATCTACCTATATATGCAGGACATTAATGGATTTCACACACATGTATCGTTTCTCGCGCGCATAGACATATCGTCGAGTAACAAAATAGAAAGTAGTCAGGAACACACGGGTGGCAGGCAGACAGGATAGGGCGCAGGGAAAGGGAGAGTGAGTGAAAATAAAAGGGTGAGAGCGAGCGAGGAGAGCGGGAAGAGACGGAAGCGCGGTGAGAAAGACGGTCGCTCGTGGGGCGGATAATCGTGAAAGGCTCTCCGGGATCTGCATTGTGTGTGCCGCTCCTTATCCTTTCACTCTTTTCCTTTATCATGTGTGTTTTAGCCTGTACAGTATAAATTCCGCAACGGAACAGCCGCTCGATGCGGACTTCCTTTTGCCGCAAAATGCCTATGTTAGCCTTGATTGCCGTAGCAGTCTGGCATTGACACGGTAATCTCCGTTATATCACTTGACAGTTTAACGCGCGAAATGCATACTTTTGTGAAACTGACATGAAATTTTTCTAACGAGAGAACGTTCAACTCCGCTCTCTCTCTCTCTTTCTCTCTTATTTTAATGAAACTGCAATTTTAATTAGGTAGACTTTGTAAAACGAACCAGAGTAATTGCGAAAAGTTTTTTCGTTTCTGATGATATCAAGATTCAGAAGTCGCGCGTAATATCCATATCTGAAATTCTAATTTATGTACAGAAATGAGTAAAAATAATTAAGATATTTTAATGCAGAAAAAGTAATGAATTGTCATGCGACAAATAATCAAATATCACTCTCTTCGTTTATAAGAATCGATGATTATATATGTCTCACCTATGTCCAGTTGAAATAAACATATTCGCTAATAAATTCGTGCCCTTACATTGTCATTACATCCGTACACACGCGAGATTGACGTATTGCAAAAAGTTGTTTGTTACATCTAAGCTCATACTCCCGTATGAATATTACATAGATCACACGATTCTACCTGTATCGCAAGCTTGCTTTTGCATGCATCAATTGATGCACAGCTGTACGGTTCTTCGGCGATGCGAGTCGATCGACGACGCTCGTTCCTTTCACATGCTTCCGAGAAACCATAGTGAAGGTGCACCGAACGACCTTACATTACAGTCAAGATCAAGATCAGCCTTTCGGCGGTCGGTATTATACGCTTCGCCGCCGTGCGGTATAATTAAACGTAACATATTCAAAAGCCTTCAAGTGAACATCTACTACGTCCTTTCTCAGCGTTTCTCCCCAGAAAAATCTTGCTATAATTTATCGATTAATTTTTTTTAATTATCAGATAACTGTAATTTTTTTACGCGATAAAAAGTATTTATGTATAAACTTTCTTCCCGAAAAAAATTTTAACAATCTATATTTTTAGAAATATCGAACAGTTAATCTGAAAGAATCCAAAACAAATTAGAAACTTTTATATCAAAATTTTCAAATCAATTTGATAACCAAATTTAAAACTACAAAAAATAATCCATCACCCGATTCTTGATATCATATATTGTTAATAAAGTTTTTTGATCGATGTACACGCGAAACTTGGTAATCATATCGGTATCAATTCGCGAACATTATAAAAAACCGTATTCTTAAGCAAACAATTATGTCATAAAAAGTCCATTTGTTTCATTCATCGTTGACATTGATTGTCCTCCTTTAAGCCCTTTCCCACAAGATCCTTTCACTTTCTCTCTTCTTCAATCAATGCCCTTCTTTTGCGGATTACACAGTCGTGAGCGGCATCTACACATCGTATACACGAAATCATCGCGTCTCGTTGCTAAGAACGTTGCTTTCTCGACTTTCAAACGTTCAACCGGTCATCGGTCTTCCAGTGAAAGTAACTGGAACGAGAGAGGATGCGATCTTCGCGGGTGACTGTAATCTCCTAGCACTCTCCTCGACTGACGGACAAGTCGACTGATTTTTTTTTTTTTACAGTCGCCTGCATGACCACTCGACCGTGGAAACGGTGCACGATTTCCGTCTAGTCAGATTTAATAGCCGTCATGAACGTTTATTACCCGCAAGTGTTTCTTCGGTTGTTATTTTTACAAAAAAAAAAAAAAAAAAACATTACGATAAATTATCGGGGCGATAATTCGTTATCGAAGAAAATTGTGCTTTATAATATCAAATTAATGATAATTAAAAGAAGATATTGTTTCTGCCTATTTTTATTATCGCGATATGTAATCATTTAACCGATTTTTTATTTAATGATTTCTTCATATAATAATTGTTATATTTATATTTGAATAATTACAGAATAATGAAATTGCAATAATCATTTTATTGCATAACTTATTTATTAAATTTCATCCAGGAAAGATAAAAATTCTCTGGGAACGATTATTACTTAAATGTACAAGCTTACTTATTATACGTCACATATATATCTTTTTAAATATTGCAAATATATTTGTATATAACATTTCATACTTAAATTGTAAGATATATGCTCGATATACATTATAATGATATATCGGAACGGATATTCCTCGTCTTTTACATAACAGAGCAAGTCAAATTTATGCATATAAATAATTTAAAGATTATTACATTTTCTGAAATAATTAAAATATCTTTAACTAGCATACAACACAAGACATGTATAAACCTTATCGCACTAAAATACTTTAACGATATAAACTGATCATTTTTTTCATAATTTTTTTTCATTATTTACATCTTTAGAGAGACTTGGTTTTATAATTGATATTTATGTATATACCTATATAAAATATGCGTCAATAACTTTTATAAGAATAATAAACCTGTTTTGTGTATGAGCCTCTGAAATAGTTCTAATATCATTTATATTCATGCAATCTTCGGGATGAATATATCATCATACTATTACGTACATAAATCTTAGATATTTGAAACTATAACAATACTCCATGTTATCCACTTTTATGCAAGACACATTTTTAGTCGCACATTCCATAATTAATTGAAGATTGGCATTTACTAAAAATATTTAAAAAAAACTTATTTATTCTAACTCTCAAACTGTCGACATTAAATAACTGTAAAAAGTTGTAAATTGTTATAAAATTTACAGAGGAGATATCCCTCCAGATTTTTCAAAAATTATCAGTTCTCAAATATATATATAGGTATCATTATATCAACCCCTTAAATAGTATTATAAATAAAATGATATAAATAATCCAGAATATATATTATATCATATAGACAAACTAATCGACAAAATTCGTTTTAGACATCTATAATATTTAGCAAATGCAACATCACATGTTAATTCTGCTTTAAAAACAGAGAAAACAAAATTGATTGAAAAATTAGAAAATATTATTGTAACAGATCATCGATTACTTTTTCACACTTAATAATTTGATGATTATTTGATTTCATTATCGTTATCAATTTCTATTTTATATAATATACGAAATATTCTCTGGACAGAGATGGAAAGGCTTTAGAATAGAAATTTCTTTTTGATCAATTCGCGGTATTAATCGATCGATCGATCACATATATCTCGATGCAAATAAAAAAACATGGAAGAGTGGACCACAATTAATCTCTGAAGACATCCAGGATCCTAAACAAGATTTCAATTAAAAAACCTCCAGCAAAATTCAAAATTACGTATTTATACCTACGTATTTATACGTATTAAGCATGTATCAGGGATTGAAATTTCCTGGAGCCAATATAATTTCACCAAGTTCAGATTTCTTGACGTCTGATGAGAGGCGCGCGAAAATGACATTTGTACATTTATGACATATAAGGTAGATTTCGTCACGTATCTAGAGAAAAGAAATGAACTCAAAATTATATCGGTTTCCAAATCCCGATGGCGTAGGATCCTTGTCTATCCGTGAATACTCGGCGTGATACCCGCGCCAATCGGCAGACCCATGTTCGCGCCGAACGGCAGCTGTTGATACGCGCCGTGAATCGGCATCGTTCTAAAGTCATAGGTCGTGGAGTCTCCGTGGTCCTCGCGTACCGCGTAGCCTTGCTTTGGCTGAGCGAAGCTGGAGAACCAATTTGTCGGCCCGCCGAAGCCCGCGGGACCTGGCAGACCAGCGGTCGGATAGCCGGCCTGCAGCTGCTGATGATGCGTCGGGATCGCAGTGGCCGCCGCGAAGCTGGGCATCGCGTCGGATAACATGCTCGGCCAGGTCTTGGTGAGCTCCTCCAGCTTCTTCTGGTACTCGTCCAGGGATACGGTGTCCCGGAGCACGATGCCGTTCTTGTAACCGGCGATAGTGGCTGACGGTATACCGGCTGGCAATACGACGGCACCTTGCGTATTAGCAGCAGAGCTGGTCACATGGGTGTACGCGGTCGAAGGAATATTCTTGTACACCTCGATGCCCTTCGTCATTGCATCTTTCTCTACGATGCTGCTGAGGGCCTGCTGGTTCCTCAGGCTGAGATCCTTTTCGATGGAACGAACGTTGTAGTACTTATTCGCGCTGTCCTTTAAACTGTCATGTAATCCGCCGCCCCTGGCGGCACCGTCCATGTCGGAAAAAAATGAGTCTATGTGTGGACTGTAGGAATGTGCCGAAGCCGATGCCGCGTATTCCTGACCTACCGACGTGATACCGGTCGGCGAATAGCTCGGTTGACGCGTGTAAGCACCGGCATATCTGACGGAAAAAGAAAGGAAGTGTGTTAGGGAAATTTGGAAATTAGCATAGATAGCATCGGTCGATCGATAACCAGATACTAATTGATCTTTTTAAGTATAAATGCATCATATATATATATAATTTTATTAACCGTTAATTTACTTTTTGAGAGTAAAAATTTTTAATTATAAAATTTATAAAATTTCTTCTCATGTAAATTTTAGATCATTCATTTTCTTATAAATTTAAAAGCGCAGAGAATGCGTTCTTATAAAATCTAATATACCAGTTTTGAGAAAAAAAAAAAGATGCTCTTATTACCGGTACTTTGACATTATGTTAGAAGAAGAAAAAATAAAATTAGAGAAAGAGATCGATACATAGGGATGACTAAATTAAGACAAGTCATTGAGAAAAGAAGATTACCTCTCATGACCAAAAGGTAAATTACCGCCCTTGGCATTATACGGAATGTATGGTTTGCCAAAAGACACGCTTTGACTGATGTCTTTACCGGACGGTATATAAACGTGATTCTCAGCTTTGTAACCGTGATCGAAGTCATCGCTTCCCGAAGGATATGGTCGCCGGAAAGGTTTTTTGCTGTAGTAACGATTACCGTAGTGCGCGTAACGAGACTCGTTATCCCCGTTAGATGATTTTTTATAATGTTGTCGCCATGGGGCTGGACTTCGTCGTGTCTTCTGAACGGGCACGACTAATAGCACTTTTCTGAAATCAGAAGAGAAATAAACGGTTAAACCTCCCAGTACATATACCAAAGATTTTAATTACTAAATGTGAAAAATAAATTCTCCAAAAAATTCTTTCAGAATTAAATCGCATATAAAGAATTAAATCTAATTAAAAGTAATATTATTATTAAAAAATTTTAAAATATGCGCTATATATATAAATGCGCATATATATAAAATATTAATTATTTATAAAATGTATGTGCAAATATAAGCTCATTATGCAAGAAAGTTCAAGACTAGCGTTTGTTATTATTTTTGATACACGATCTACATTTATATGGCACATTTACAGTTTTTTCCACTTTCTATTAAAATTAAAAGTAATTCGAAAAATATGGGTACGGCTATTCCTGTAAAAAAATTTCTCGCAATCGAAAGTTACTAAAGAATTGCAAAGAATGACCGTACTTTCACACATTTTAAATTTTTGCAAAAACCAGATGATCCAGATTCGCGTTCTACTTTAAAGATCCTGTTGCTTAAGGGAAAAAAGTCATCGTAGACGTCATAGGCGAGTGAAAGAAAAGTCTTGTTTTTTAATTTTACAAGAGATTCTTTGCACATTACATTGTTTAACATTGGTTCTATTACTTATGATTTCTTGTTATTCTTCTAATTAGAATTAGTCATTAGAACTGGTCATTGTGACTAGATACTTTGTCCTCGATAAAATGTATGTTGATAAATTTTTAATTAATATTACGGAAGACAATTACAAAAACGGTTTGTATTTACAAATCGTCTTGATTTTATAAAAGTAAAGATTATGAGCTAATTACGAGCTTTCTTGTAACACATAAAATCTACTTTTTATTAAATTTACAACATTTTTTATATAAGGATTTAAATAATCACCAACTTTCCACCGTTCTAGTGCTAATCTAATGTACTTACACGTAATTAAGTACAACACGGGTACTCACGCGTGAATGAGAAGGGGCTCGCTGATCGCTAGCAACAGGACGCAGAGGACCTGCGAACATTAATTGCTGATTAACACATGTTTTAATGGTAACAAGCGTGAACGACGAAGTATACGGATTGCCTATCGAGTTGACAGACTTTCACATGCGTAGAAATGTTTAGCCGCGGGTGCAATTTCATCTGCGAGAGTTACGCACGCCGAGACACGCAATCCCGTTACGCTGCAATTATCATTAGTATATGGTGGAATTATATCAAAATCACAGAGTTTTAAACTCGTCGGCCTTATCCTTCTATTGCAGTTTTACTGATAACCGTGATTAAAATTTTTACACAATAAAAATCCATATATATCGCAGAATCAGATTTGTCTAATAATAAGTCTTGCAATTTTTAAAAATCCATTTAAATCGATAACCCAAAAAATTTTCTGCTTTTTATAGATAATCATAATTTATAATGCAATGATTCAAAGTTATACTCTGTTCACTTCTTATTTTTGAATACATGCAAACAACAATTATTCTTTCTTTGTATGTCTATAGGAATTAATATATTATGCATTATATCTTTCGATTTATTTCTTAATGAGTATCGTACTTCATACTTTTAATTTTGTAATAAATAAATAAATAATTGAATAAAATTTGTCAATAGTGTAATAATAATATAAAACAGAATTAACAACAATATGCTTTAAATATTAATTCTTATAGATACACAGAATAATTTTTGTTTGCATATATTAAAAAATAAGAAATGAACAAAGTAAAACTCAGAATTATTGTGTATGAATAATGATTATCTATAAAAAACGGAAAATTTATTTGAAAACGACGAAATGTATAATATACATTATTCCGATTTATACGTGATTTTGTTCGTTAAATTAGCAGACTAGATAATACTTTACAAGATAAATTTCTATTTCTTTGTTTTTTTTTCTTTATACACGATAATCATAAAACCTAATAAATTTATTTTCATAAAGGTATATAAACTAATCTATCTAAAATATTATTAATTAATTATTTAATTTAAATTAGTATCCAAAAATCAATTTTTCTTCTGTACACGCTATTATGCATTATTTTGAATAAATATAAGCTCGATAAATTATTATTAAATAAATTAAATAATTATTATTACTAATTATTAATCTTATTCAGCATCCTTTATATATATATATATATATATTTATCTTTGCAAATTTTAACATATAATCTAATTTCAAAAAATTTTCTTTTTGGATGTTTATCCAACTGCTTTTATCAGCCAAAATTATGAAAAAAAAAACTCGATGCCAAGGAAAGCGATGTTGAATCTTTTAAATCATGAAGTTTGTAAGAGACTTTAAGACTCACCGAGTACTGCATACTGGTCCTTGGATTAATCTCGCGCCGCTTGATATGATATTCGCTTCTATCCGCTTTGCGGTCGCGGATGAGACACGGATGGCCAAAAAGCTCGCGCCCGCCGCACCTGTCTTAACCGAATCAAGAGGTCCCCAGGTCCGATATTTGACGTGTTCGTCACCGCGGACGATCCAGATAGTATTGCGGCTACCCGCGCTACGCCTCTTCTCTTTTATACAAGATAAAAAGAGCATAGACTCGCGCGTCCGATCGCCTCCCACCGTGGAAATGCGTGCATCGGCACCGGCTCCGCCGATCGCGCTAGATGGAAATGGAAAACGGACGGGCGCACAGTCTCCGCGGTCTCCTCTCCGCTAAATACGGCCAGCCCGGCTGGCCAGGCAAGCCGTGTCGCGGATTTTTGTCCAGGGAGAAATCGACGCTTTCTTCGTCGTGAGACAGACAAGGGCGTACTCGCGATTACCACGGTATCCGCCTGATCTAGTGATGAACCGAGAGTCCGGTCCGACAGGTGCATCTTGCGGCGTTATCATATCAAGTCTCTCTCTCTCTCTCTTTCTCTCGAAATGAAAACAAAACAGCTATTAGAAAGATGGTATACGCTGGACGGATGAGTCTATCCAACGAAAGTTAGCCAACAGCTATCGCGACAGAAAGCAGATAGCTTTCCTTTATATTAATTAATCACTACATAGTTGAATGAAAAGTAAATGAAAAGGAAATGAAAAGTAATGCACGAAGAAGGAGACATGTATGCGAAATAAAGGGCAACGTATTAATTTCGATAAAGACCAATGTATTAATTTTAATTAAGACATATATTAATATTAATAAATACATCAATAAATTAATTTTAATTGACAAATTAAATTATAAATTTTAATTACTACTTATTAATTAATTATGTAAAAATTACATATTATTATATATCAAGTTTAACGTATATAGCAAGATACTAAAATAATTTGAATTAATCAAATCTTGGGTCAAATTAAATTATTAGTTATTATTAGTCACTATTCTACGCGAACGCGCGAGAATGTATTGATGCATCTATAAGCCACACCCAACGTTTGCTTTCCAAAATGCGAATAACAAGAGAATGTAAGTGCTTCGGCAATACGATCGTACGGAAAGTGTTCTACATTTCCTGCAGATACTTGCGATTGATCCGCTTGATTTCATATCTGATTCCTTCGTTTTTCCTCACACTGAAATAAAATGAATTTCTGTGTAATAAAATTATAATATTTATAATACGGATACAAATGTTAATGAATTCGTGTTGTTCATGTAATATATGTATATATGAGTAAAAATACTATATGTTATATAAGCAATCTATGTAAATCGTGAAGAAGGAAGAAAGTACTTATTAAAACTTTTATGTACCATTGATAGTAAATGGTTGTATCATCAGCTCTTGATATGATATATACGTAAACTTTCTTCTGACTAATTACTCACGGAATGATATCAAACAACGAACGAAGAAGAAGATTATCACGATTTAATTGCAAATTGTGAACGCGATCGAAAGTTAAAATTAATTTGCCATCATCTTTGGCACAAACCGTCTCTTCGCAAACTATCCTCTGTCTCGAAAAAAGATGAAATCACGGATACATAACGATGTTTTCTCTCTCGATAACAACGATTCTCGTAATTCTATCGCCATATTTTTTCTTTTTTTATCGTTTTTACATAAAAATTTCACTGAGAAGAATATTTCGCGCGTTTTCATATTGTTGCCGTTACGGTCCACATATACAAGTCCTTTCTCGGCGCGCCGCCGAGATACCAACGATGGCGTCAATTAGCTCATTCACGCGATATACTTTCTTGCATCGAATTCAAGGTCGAGTTTCTAACCTCATGCCTTTTTCAACGGGGATCAGAGATAGCACTACATGAGATATGCATATTTTACCGAATCTAAAAAAAAGATAGTACAGTCAAATTTATTCAGATTAAACTTGTAATAAATTTGCTGAGAAATCTTTAAAAAAAGGGGAAAGAGAAAACGCGGAAGATGTAATAATAAAGAATTGCGGAAATTCTTTGGCTCACAGGCTCCTCAAAAAGGATTTCCTCAAAAATTAACTACAACGCAAATACTAATAATTTCAGACTAACGCATGGTGTGAATTTTTGCGTAATAGATACAACATTGTTGAGAGAGATTACAATTAAGTGCAACATTTCGTGACTACAATTCTTCATACACAACAGTCCCACGAGTCAGTGCGTTTGCAGGCTTGAAAATTAATAGCCATGTATAGCTTGCTATTTTTTTAGCCGCTCTTAGTCACGCTTTCGACTAAACGATTTGGTAATTATCTAAAGACTTACATTTTTCATACTTGTTAGAAACCGTTGCAATCTCTTAAATATGAGTACAAAATATTTTCAACTATTTTTTGTCGATATAGAGTATTTAAGTATTTTTACTATGATTTTTTTTATATATAATCTTTTATTTTAATCTTTTATATTTTTATGCATATATAAAATTCTTTTTTATCATACTTAAATGAATTCTTTTTGCTACTTGAACAAAAATACATCCGCCGATAATTTTATGATAATTTTTACGGTTTTAATATACGCTCTATACATTTCTTCAAATAGACTGGAGAAGAAATATTCTATAAGATATATAATCAGTAATCACTATTACATATATTAAATAGAAAATCTATCAAAATTCACATAAATGGCGGAATAAAATCTAATATGCCGGAAAAAATTTTACTGCGGAACAAGAAAATCGTAATATCTTCCGTCTTCAAATACTTTACAGCAGAAAATTACGGCAAATATCGATAAATTGTCGTGTAATATGCTCTATGAAGAGAGAGTACATGATCCGAAACATCGTATACTTAAGACTTTATATTTTCCCCTTAATGTGATGTTTTAATCACCTCGCATTGGAACTCTATTAAACAAATGTTTTGTACTATTAATACTATAACTATACTCTTGCATGTGGAAGTATAAAAAAATTGTCCAACATTTTCATGACGAATGAATAAATTATAAAAGAATCCAGAATTATTGTTACAAGAATATAAAAACTGGTTTTACAATTAAATGTATTTTATAGTAAATTTAATTTCACAATGCTGAAAATTTTTCAATATATCACATAAACGATTAAAATGAAAATTTCCAACATCTTGTCTTATGATAATAATTATGATAATATATTAATTATGATAATTATGATTTCATACAAAGATTATAGGAATAATTACTTTTGAAACATTCATTACTAGTTTTACTGTTAAAAGAAATTATCAATTTTTAATTGATTTTCCATTTCTTTCTAATTGCTTTTATCTTGAGTTGCGGTCAAAGATAACACAATGCTACGCTTTAGTGAAATCAATCCGGCTCCGAATGGCACCATTCGATATATTCGTCTAAACATCTCAGGTCTCGCATTTTCCCAGGACGCTGTTGATGGACTGGAAACGTAATACCTCGTATATACATTCACCGCGACCCTGGCCGGATTGAATTCCTCCAGTAGAGAGTTCACTGTCACGGTCTCGCGAGACAGTCGTGGTAAGGAAAAGGATAAGACTGTATCGCGTATGTGTTATTCGTTTTTGTTTTCGCTTGAGTACCGGCGTGGCGTATAATTTGTACTCTTTTACGAGACAGAGACGCGACGCCGGGATCAGTTTCCCTTTCTCTCGAACGTGTTTTCGAAGGTTTCGTGCAAATCTCGGAAAGTGAACGGTTCTACCCGGTCATCGCCTCGTAGTTTCTGCGTCTACGCGTTATCGGCACCGCTCCTTCAGGAAGGGGAAACGAATTCCTCTCGCAGTGCATATTTTCGATAGCGATTTTCGATAGCGATTTTCGCCCATATACACATGTATTCTAACAATATATTTTTTTACCATCTATATTTTAACAATACGTTTTTTCAAGATTTTATATGAATTATATTTATTTTTATTTTTTTAACTTTATGATTATTTTTATTCTTAAAATTTACTGTTTTTAATTTTAATAACAATGCAAGAAACTTACACAAATTTGGAGAAATAAAATTTTGTAATTCTTGTCCTGTGTTTTAGAGCTCTGTATTATTTGCTTCCTACTTTTCATTATAATATAATTTAAAATTCACATCTTATGCCGAAATACATATGTACTATGGAACAATGATATACTTCTTGTAACACATAATTATATGCTAAAGAAGATTTCTTTCCATTGCCACAAGCCATTCTGACAATTTCTTGAAGCAATTTAATAAAAATGCGAGAACACAATGTGAAAAAGTAAATTAAGAAACCGCGTTCCCCAGAGAAAGTCCGAGATTGGATCTAAATACTTCCTAGCATTCAGGAGAGAAGCTACTAAGAATAAAACAGAATAAGCGACTTTACAATCTAAAATCCGATTTATATCCTTCATTTATATTAACGCTGTCATTCCTTTAATAAATATATGATTTGTCATTTTTGTAAATTTTAAATCTGTGCAATTAAATATTATCACTTCAATCTCGTATGTATTCTGTTAAAAAGTATTTGAAATTGCCTAAAAAACAAAATTTTATTATCTATTTATACTTTCGGAGATTTAATACATTAAAAAATTCTATAGCACTCAACATTTGTTAACTCGTTTTCTAAATAATGAGACAGACTTAATATCTCAAAATCACAAAAAAAAAGATGCCTAGAAAATATTAATAATTTTGGAGCACCATGCATTATTCAAGAGTGAGCGAAAAATTAATTTCTCATGACAAATTGAAAGAGAAAAAATGTATTTATAAATGCATTTTTTATTAAGCTCATGTTAAAAACATATATATAAAACTTTCGCTGATACATTTCATATATCATATTTAATTTAGCATATCCAAGTTAATTACTCGGTTTTCGATGTGAAATTGTATTATTATATATGGAGAGATAATAATCTGTACAGTTACATTTCCTCTATGTAAAACGTTCCGCACACAAAAATGCTCGCCTTCACATCATAAATCATATTTTATAACATTTATTGATCTAAACTATTTATTAATTATTTAATTATTATGTGATAGCTATCGAGAATAATCGCTCTTGTATTTTTAACATTTCTATGCCATAAATCATATATTTTAATACGCAACGCTATTTTTTGTCAAGAATAAAGTATAACATACAAAATATTGTAACTTTGATATAAAAGTTAGGATAAATATAATTTTGGTATACGATTATGATGCATGTTATAAATGTTCTGTCCGTTAGTAGCTTGCTGATAGATGGCAGCAATTACTGAACTTTCAAGTAGAACATAGTGAAGCAGAAATATAGGCAGAGTACTATCTTATCTATTTCTTCATAAATATTAGCCACGTCAAAGTAACGTTTGATTTTAAATTTATTATATTTCAAATACAGAACTAGAAGGAAAGGGAGAAAAGCACTATCAAATAACATATCAGCATTCGATATTATAATTCTTTTTTATCGTGATTTTACATTATGAACTTGGAAATTCTCATTTCTTAATTCTCTCTAAATATATTCGAATATTCGATAATTTAAATATTTTTATATTTTAATAATGGATTATTTAAAAATTATTAAAATTAATAATAAATAAAAATATGCTCAGAGTAATAACGATACTAATTGTAATTGGAAATTGGCAAATAAGAGCCGAAATATAGTAATTAGAGCGCAAACTTTTTTATTATTTAATTTCTAATTACCACGCCTCAGCTCTCTTATTCATTTATTTCCTCACTTAATATCATTATTAGAATTATTAGATAATCTAAATATTTAAATTATCTTTAAATAAAAAATATATTATATCTCCGAATATTCATATATTAAAATTATTCAAATACATAATTATGAATACTTACTGTACAGTTTTAATATTCTTTATATTATAAATACAATATCTAGATTTCTCGTATCTCCTTCGATCGTTTGTCCAACGATTAAATTAATTTAATACAAATTGATTTTAATAAAAGTAATAAAAAATAAAGCTATAATATAAATGCAAATTTTCCAATTTCAAGTCAACAGGAAGAACACGCCGTGCGATTCTTCCTGTTTTCGTGCGAAGGCGCGAAGGATTATTGAAATGAATAAACCAATGGCATGGCCCGTCGATTCGCGTGGTATAATTGTTGATCTTGATCTTGGCCGTTCACCGGACGTTTGCCTTTCATTAAGAGGAGGAACAATCTAGATTTAATCGAAAGAGAGGAAGTGCATAAAGGAAGCGAGCGGCGGGGGAGGTAGGCGCGTTAACCCTCTCCCTCCCGCGGTGCGGTGACTTTTTGCCACCGACTTGCGGCCATTAGGCGACTCCTTTCACGAGCACCATGTGGCAAGTGGCAAAAGACTCCCTTTCATTCTCTTATCCATAGCTACTACTATCACGTAGGTGTATAAAAGCGGCACGCGTATTCACGGTAGTCGTCAGATCAAAACTGTGCGGACGAACGATTCGTTTCCTCGTTGGATTACTCATCGCAGTTCTTTTCGTCCTTGCCGTTTTTTCTTCTTTATTGCCCTGCGGAAGTGACACCCTTTTCTCCCCCTGGTTCTATTCCGGAACAATGGGAAGACAACGCGAGATGGTACCGTACCTCTTGGTAAGATTTCCAATGGATTATAGTGCATTTACGATTGGACGCGACGTGTGATTTTATTTCCACGCTTGATCAAAGAGAATAATGTTATTTGAACTATTCGTTTCGCAATTTACGCTGTTAATAATAGAATCATAAAGAAGAGCTACTTGGACTATATTGAAAGTAAAAATCTCAGATAAATTAATTTTTAAATAATATCTAAATTATACACATTAGGGAAAAATTTTTAAACATATTTTTATGGAAATGTAACAGTTTTAACATTTTTTAATACAAACAGTGAGAATTTTCTAATTACAGTTACTCGTGATATATATTTTATTATAATATTGTTATATTATTTGACACTAGATACTATAATTTTTATTGCATACCGTTGCAATCGATTGTTGTAAACGACTGGTTTTTTTTGTCAATAGTAATACGGATGGATTAAATGTATATAGCTTTATTAACGATATTTATTATTTTCAGTTGAATCTTCTCTTAGTTCTCGTTTCACTAATTAATTTGACCAATGCCGGTGGACACGGTGGCGGACAGTAAGTTTTAATTAAGCTTTATATCAGTGAAAATAATCTCAAAAAATAGAATAAATAAAAATATACGATCTTTCATCGCGCAACGAGTAAACTAATCACGTAGTTTCTATGTCTTCTCGAACAATTAGCATCTTCTCACGTACCATACCATATCAAGACCATCAAGCATACGCATACAATTACAAAACACATACACCATGGCGGTGGCGGAGAAGATAAGTACGAAGTACTCGGATATACTGTGGGTCATCCGAATGAACTCGGAGGTCACGAAGGCGGAGGCGGCGGTTTCGGGGGTGGTGGCCACGATTTCGGCGGAGGTCACGAAAGCGGTGGCGGCGGTTTCGGGGGTGGTGGCCACGATTTCGGCGGGGGACACGATTTCGGCGGAGGACACGATTTCAGCGGTAGCATCGGAAGCATCGGAGGACAAGAAGGAGGTGGCGGTCACGATTTCGGAGGTGGTGGTGGATTCGGAGGCGGAGGTCATGAAGGCTGGTCAAGTCGTTAGGAGGATTCTTTTATATTATTGTTACTTTTGAGAAAACTAAAATTATATTTAACGTAATCGACACGATAATCCTTTGAAGTTTACAGAACGTTTTACATATGCTCGTTATCAGAGAGATAACGAGCATATGTAAGATACACATTACTTATATATCGATCCTGTATTGAAATTTCATTTCAAATCTTTGAGCGGAAAGTTAGCATTCGTGAAAAATACTTCGAGGAATTAATACGTTTTTACGCTTGACATTTTTGCATGCATCGGTAACGAACGATTTGATTTCATGTTTTTACAACGCAAGTATCCATGATAATGTAAAATTGGGAATAGAACCGAGAAATGCATTAAAATTGTAATTGATGCACTTCGTTGAGTGCTGCTTTCGATTTAAAAAAAATCCAGATACTTTTTCTTCTTTTATATCTCTAGTCTGAGTCACTCTCGTTAAATCTTCGATACATTCTTTCAGCATAATTTGTATATATTATAATATCGTTACTTCTTGTGTTATCTTTGTATTATGTTATTATAATATTGTTTTTATATCTATATTGTTTTTTGTTAAACATAATAAATAAATTATGTATGTTTTTACGGCGCGTATTTTTCATTTTAATTAATCGCATATGTACCTGATTGCGCATACCTTATATTCCAAAAATATTTTAAAAATCTAAGGGAGAGAGAGAGAGAGAGAGAGAGAGAGAATCAGTTATGATCGTTAAATGTTCGTATCTGATGTTTAAAGTATGCCTCCGGATATTACCGGAAGTTGTTCTCCGCGAAATAAAATTAATTTTAAACTTGAGATTTTTTTCAGCCAAAAATTGAAAATCAACGAAATAAATCTCCAGGTCTCTGTACGTAATAAACAGTATATTCTCTCTCCAACTATAAGCAACTACAAATGAATGAGTCATTATAAACAATATTTATGCTACTGAGATCTATCAATACAAACGCAAGATCGTGTTTTATCGCGAGAATTAAAATCAATTTATTCAGTGAATTCTTGAATGAAAAACGATACGCATAATTAATTCTTTCTGTATCTTATACCAAATAAAGAAAAGTGAAATATCTTATACCAAATAAAGAAAAATGAAGTTTGTTTACATTGTATTTGTGTAGAGCAGACGTGGAAAAAGTGTTTGTTTACATTTACGGGATAGGTATACACACTCATGGATATTTTGTCAATAATGTGTTTCACCTATTAAAGAAATTCTCAAAATATGGCCGTCGAATGTGTTAATCCTGTCGTGATTTGTGATCGCAAAAGCTTGCTTGTATGTGATAATCAAAGAGGCGCAGTTCTGTGTAGAATGCAAGGACGCTAAAGGTGATCATAAATTAGATTGATCGCTACCTGTTATATAGATGTTGCAAATGAAGCTAATGTCTTTATAAATGAGAATTTCACGCTCCGCCTAGATGTACATTAGTTTCATGAATTATTGAGAATAAAGTTGTATCTATTTACAATAATTATCTGTAATCGCAGCTATTAATCAAACAATCTTTTGAGTTATAATATAATCATCTTGCAGTTCGTTAAGAGCTTTCAACATGCAAAGGTGGCGATTTATCTTTTATAACGTTTTACATAACGTAAAAGAAAATTTTACAACAAAATACAACAAAAGAAAATAATCTATATAAATCTAACTCATCTCTAGATTCATATATTTGGAAAATACGAAAATATATATACTCGATTATGTACGTATGTACATATATCTTTGTATTACTGTAAAAATTTGCCGAATAATATGATTTAATTTTCACGACAAAGCATTATCTGGCATATTGAAACGAAGACGCAATGTTTTTCGGATATTTTTTAGATTATTGTTAATTATTTTATGGAAGTGCTGATTATCGTATTCGATGGAAGGACCCATTTATTAAACATGTGGTAATCTGACATGTACGTAAATTTCACCGTATCGCGCCGAACTCAATAAAATGTTTGCTTAAAAATTAAAAATATATAGTTTTGTCGCGGAGAGCGAATTTCAATAATGTTATGAGAAGTATACTTTAAGTATTATAGAATACTTAAGGCATAAATATGTCCGTGTTTGACGGCTTGTATTGGTTTCTTGACATTATTTAAATTTTTATAAAAAACTTTTACTATACTTTTAATCTTATCTTTATTTAAAAAATGTTTCTAACAAATTTTTAATACTGACAAACTGAAGAAAAAATACGAATTTGTTAAATATTATTTCCATTTGTTTATTTTTTCTCAACATGGCCGATAAAAGAAATTTATATGTGTGTGTGTTTAAAAAATATGTTTAATAATATATTTGAAAATATAATGCACACAATATATGTCAAAATTTTTTATATTATTAAATATTTGTTAAAAAATTTATACATTATCGAATTCGAAATGATATACATGTTTCAAAAACTCAGAAAATATCCAATATTATGAAAATTCTAATATATCTAGAGATATGCAATCTTTTATATATTTGACAGCTTTTACAATCATTTATAATTTAATATTAAAAATTAAACTTTTATTTAACATTTTTATTAAAATTATCAGTTTTATTTATTATGCGTCTTTTGAATACTTCTATGTATGACAGGCGTACATTGATAGGCGCATTGCATTTAGATTCGTCGTTTTGTGTTGAGAAAAGCTTATTTTATTTCTTCTTTAGGCATTTATCGTAAAAGCGTTTATCTTAATATTCTAAAAATATTCTAAAAACAGTTAATGAAATTTTTTAATAACTTATATTTTATATAATATCGAAACCTTATATAGATAGATTCAAATAAAATATTAAATCGCAAACACATTTAGAAATAATATATATATATATATATCTACATTTAAAAAAGATAAAGAAATTCTCAAAATATGGCCGTCGAATGTGTTAATCCTGTCGTGATTTGTGATCGCAAAAGCTTGCTTGTATGTGATAATCAAAGAGGCGCAGTTCTGTGTAGAATGCAAGGACGCTAAAGGTGATCATAAATTAGATTGATCGCTACCTGTTATATAGATGTTGCAAATGAAGCTAATGTCTTTATAAATGAGAATTTCACGCTCCGCCTAGATGTACATTAGTTTCATGAATTATTGAGAATAAAGTTGTATCTATTTACAATAATTATCTGTAATCGCAGCTATTAATCAAACAATCTTTTGAGTTATAATATAATCATCTTATTGCACAATTTATTATTTCTTCGTTACAT